CATGCACACAATATATGATTCAAACATTCATGATATTCTCAATATTTTATTTCAAGTCATTTGATATTCAATATCTCAACCATGTTCTTAAATTATTCTTAATCTAAGGCCAAATCATTTTATAACAAGCTCTTAGCTATTCCTAGTCTAAGGCAACATTTCTAACCAGGCCCTTAAACTATAAATAGTTTAATGCAGAACACAATAATCGATAATCCACCCTATGAGTCATGTGGATTACGTACCAACCGAACAATGATTTGTCGGGTGGGTAATATCCGGTCTGGATCCCGTACGTACGTTTTAACCCGAAATATGAATTGGTCAAGTAGGTATATCTTAGAGTTCTTCTAGATATCCTTAATAATCATCATCAATATACAAGTGGGTATATTTTAGAGTTCTTCTAGATATCCTTAACAATATACACTGTTTTCATAATCACCATTAATTCATTTTTAATCATGACTTAATCATCAATAATCATTTTAATCAGTAGGTTTATCATTCACATTTATCCATAATAATTATTCATCATAATGATCATTCAACATAATATTTAATAGCAAACAGCGGCCTAGTCTCGGGTGTTAACACCCGAACTTATCGTCATGCATCACATAATGTTTTATATGCCAAAAACATCATTTATTATACAAAATCATATTTAAATTGTTCATAATTAATTAGTATTTTCAAAGAATATTTCCAAGAATATTTTCGGGACACTGGAATTGAGGAAAAATCGATTTATTCAATAAATTAATATAAAATTGATTTTTCAACATATTTTAATCGATTAATTTTGTAAAATCGATTTTTCAACATATTTTAATCGATTAAATTTGTAAAATTGATTTTAATATATATTTTAATCGATTAAATACCAAAATCGATTTTATACCTTAATATAATCGATTATTATTTTTATTTTTATTTTGATACGCGTTATCTGAACAAATTTTAATCGATTCTTAGGAAGAAAATAATCGATTTTCGATCACTGTTCATCGTCTTCTACCTTCGGTCCATTTTCGGACATATCAATTTTAGTTACCAAACTTCAATTAAACTATATAGAAATGTTCTCCAAGGTTCATACATCATTTTAGAATCATTAAAACATATTTTTAACATCAAATTCAAGGTTTATGATTCTTGGTTATTCAAACATGTCAAACACAAAACTCAACCAAATGACCATTTATGAACGTAAAAACAACCTATATGAACATTCTAATCTTTAGATATATATACGGGCTTACCTCGAAGGTTTTGAGAATTTTCTGGCGAAACTTCCGGCGATGATTACTGCCCACTCCGGCGACTTCGGCGGCAACTAACAACACCAGACTGCTCCCTTCACTCTTATGACTACAATGGTATAATTTTCCAGAAGATTGGTGCAGAATTGGTAAGGATGGAATATCCTTATATAGAAGAAGAGAAGGGGAAGAGGACACTGGCTGACTCATTTCTGCGTATGAAAGTCGCGTAGTGGAGGAGGCTGCGCCGATCGGATATTTACACGATTCTTCCCTGATTGGGACTAATTTCGGTCCCAGTCGGAGTACTCTTTTTGGTCCAACTTTCTCCGAATTTAAATCTGTTTGCATCGTTGCGATCAGACAGTCGAACTCTATCCAACGATATAATTTTTATATTCATTCGTTATACTTTTTCCGACACCACATTTTTGGGTGTTTGACTTTAACAGAGTAAAAATTGGTTTAATTGACCTTTCTCATAAAAGGTTCTCTCATTTAATTCATATCATTTGTTCTCATGATTTATTTTAATAAATCATTTTAAAGTTCATATTATAAATAATTTCTTTATTTATTCTTGATTTGGGTCTGTACCCATGTTCTCAATCAAGACCACACAAATACTCAACATGTTGGATTTATCTCTATAAGATTTATCCCAATTATGTTTATTGGATATCAATATATATTTTATTCAAGCCCAAATCCCAACAACAATTTATTTTAATCAAAACAAATTTTGTTTAATTGAATATTTAATTCAATAAATTTTAGGGTATATTTTGGGGCGTTACAGTTAACGAGAGCAGGATATCATTAATGCGTGTGAGACTAGTGAGAGTTAGATGTTTGACCTTGTCTCTTGGTCAATGACGGAGTGTTCGCATCTACTCTCGGGCAGATATTATCGTTAATAATAGGATGCCAGACCTGACCCACCTTAAGGACATTGCCTAGACTTTTAGTCTATGCTCTAAGTGTCCTTAATGCGACTATTGGTATAACGATCCTCAGACTTGAAGTATTACGTTCTTCGAATGTGTGAACCCGCATGCTTTGATTCATTGTCCTAAGCTGTATGAAATAAGGATGGTATACAGGCTTTGTATCGGGCATGTCGCTGCACGTATTCGAAGACGTAGATTACGTACAAAGAATTTGTCACTGCTACTCAAGCAGAATGATGTCTTGTAGGGGCCCACTGATAAGTATGACTGAAGAAATGCATGGCCATGCTGAGATGAGTTTAGACATCTGTTCTCATCAGTCAGACTTGTTAATCAGTAAGTAACTTAATGGCTACAAGTTGGATAATTTTATATCCCTTGCACTAAGTTAAGACATTGGGACAAAAGGATCTACGTTATACAAAGTCTTAGTCGTAGAAAGGTTTTGACGGAGCAAACGCCTGAACTTATAATCTGGGGGTAATAATGTGTTGCTAGATACCGCTTATTACTTATAGTATTGGTGTAGAGTCAATACTATGGCCAGTTTTATAAGTGCCTATATGGGTCACACACTTTGGACAATTTAAAGAGTAGGATTATAAAAAGGGATAATATATATAATTTGTATATTGTAAAATAGTAAAATAAAATGTTTAATATAATATATATGTATATATATTGTACACGTACGACTTTTATAAATATAATATATATGTATACTTTACTCACGCCACATAAACACACATACATGATTATGCTTGTGTATATACATATATATGTAATATGTATGTGCGTACATATATATGTATGAAATATACTTTAATAGCGTGCACACATATATATATATTACATTAAATATTATATTGTGTACATTTTATTTTGGAGTGTCATTTTAATTATGAAAATAATTATTTTAACAAAAAACTATTTTAAAGCATATTTTGTATACTTGTTTTAAAATGTTTTGGGTATTTTATTTTATATCATAAAATTATTGATGTCAAATAAAATAACATTTGAGAGGAGGAGAATTAAATTCCTCCCCCCTCACCATTTCGTACATATGCTTTGTGGAGCTTCCCTTGTCTCCCACTTTGTAAAATGAGTGGTGGAGGTGAATTGGACAAAACCTTTTGTCATTTTATCATTATCAATGTTTCTCTTTCTTTAATAGATTAAATAATGGATCTTCACCCTCTACTCACTTAGGTGAATCGGCCAAAGAGAAGAGAGGGAAGAGCATAATATTTGAGTTCCAAAAGTTATTATTTTGGGTGTAGAAAATTGTTATAATATTTTCTTTAAAATATTATTGATATATTTTCTACTATTTAATATACAAGATTTATATTATCCCTAAAATAATCTTTATATTAAATATACTATTATAATCTTTACTAGCATAAAGATTATAGTAGACTCCGGAGATTGTTCGTGTGTCAAAGTTGGAGGCCGGACGCTTGAATGGCTACGTTTGCTCCTTCAACATCTTTTGCTCGACTTCTCGTTCATACCGCTTTACCGGAGAAGGTATAAGTTTCTATCTCTAGCTATAGTTTTAGTACGTGTTCTTGGGCTAGTAATCACTATTGGGAGATTAAATTTTTGTATTTCCGCTGCCCTCCCTACCGTGGTTACCTTTCACTGACGATGTGCTCTGTACGAGAGCAGATCATTTAAAGACAATGAGCAGATTGAGGCAGACTTTTTTCCATTTGCCACTCTGGACAGCGAGTTGGCATCACCTTTCATTCTCATTGCTACGATTTCTTTCACTTTGCCATTCTGGACAGCGAGTTGGCAGTGCACTTCATGCTGATTGCTACTACTTTCCCATTGTCACTCCGGACAGCAAGTCGGCGATGCACCTCGTATCCATGGGTGCATATTCTTTCACCTCGCCTTACGCTGGACGGCGACTTGGCATTACATTTCAGACTGATGGCGTTGCTTGCCTTACTTCACCGTGCTCGGGATAGCGAGTTGGCGGTGCACTCCAGACAGCCAGGAAGACGGTGTCCTTCCATGGTGAATTATGATTCTACTTCCACTTCACCTTGAGTTCCTCTCGGCTTGAGAAGTGGGGGACTCATGATGGATACCCTTGACAGGGGGTATCCGGTCTTTGTATAATGTTAGTTGGGACGGTCCAGTCTGTTGGACCGGCCCGTTAGTCGTACGATAATTATTTATTTAAGGGCGGCCCAATCTGTTGGACCGGCCCATTAGTCGCATATTTATTATTTAGGGCGGCCCAGTTTGTTGGGCCGGCCCATTTGTTCGGAACCCTAACCCTGGCTCTCGCTATTTATACTCTTCTTCTTGGAAGAGGAGGGAGGGGGGAAGAGGGAGGCTTAACACTACACTATTCATCTTCTTCATCTAATCTACACATTTTCTCCTTCTCCTCTACCCTTGGATTCCATAATCCAACACTACTATTGTTGCATAAAAAATATTATATTATTATTTTAATTTTATTTAATTATTTTACTACGAATGCAGGGTGATAGCTGATATATGCATTATGATTTATCCTTTATATTGTTATTCATATTTTATTCAATCTATTAAGTTTTTGATTAGTGAAAAAGTAACTTAGTATGTAACGAGAAACTCTGAGAATGTATAATATTCTGAACAAGTGTAACACATATTTGAGAAATAATTTGCCTATGCGGGATTCGAACCCACATCTGTAGTATATATACTGCTCTACCATTTGAACTAATATGCAACAATTTGTGTTTCAAATTAAGAGTTTCTCATCTTGCATTTGGACTATTTAAATATGCATTTTAATCCTTTAAGAATTGTATCATTCAACGGGTTTTTAAATCATATGCAAATGTATCACAGAAATGCGTTATCGTTTCTAGAAACTTCACTATCTAGAATAATATACATATGCATCATATTCACGTCAAAAGAATTCTATCATCCACGATTTTTACTTTTGTTTATCAGAATGCACAGCCACCGAATGCAGTACTTGTTACCTTTTTCAAAGAATGCATTGTTGTATCATGGAAATGCACTGCTTATAGTGTGATAATGCATAATAAAAGAAACCCATACAGACTTTAGTCATTAAAATTTAACAAATTAAAACATTTTGCAGTGCACCATGACTTCTCTGTGATGCATAGCTAAATTATATAATATGCATTTAGAACCTTTCTCCATGCAACGACATTAGTGGTTTTGTTGCACTTCTTAGACTACAAAATCTGGGCTAAAAGACGCAATAGAATAAAATACAAAGTAGAAACAAAATTTTAGGGTGTGTGAAAAAAAATTCTCCTTCCCTTATCTTTATTGTGTACATAAGATGTTATGCTTTTACGCATTATATATGCTAGTTATAAGAACTTGTTTAAATTTAAACTAGTTATACATTTTTATAGTTCAGTGCAAGTTATAATATTTGCATACTCTATTTTGTGTATTTCATTTAGATTATTCAAGAGTGGTCCTAACGTTTTAGGGAAATTTTTAAAACTAAAATATGTATTCCTCTCTTCAGATTATTCTATTAAGATAAAAATATCATAAAAATAAAAATAATGACAAATAACAAGGAACGGGAGGTTAACGAATAAATTTAATGAAGAATGAAATATAATGATTTTCTTGAACAACATAAAACTAATCATTGTTTAGATAAAATCAATTAAGGTGAAATTGTTTAATATGCGATTTAAACTTAATTAAAAAAAATCTACAAATTACACACCTGTTTTTAGAGAAAAATGAACTTAGGCCCCGTTTGGTACACGGAATTCAAACTATGGAATTGGAATTGAGGGCTTCAATTCCAATTCTGGTGCTTGGTAGCACAAAAATTATGTGGATTTAGAATTGATAGTGCAAAAAATGAATTGGAGTTGACATAATTCAATTCAATGGAATTGAATCCTATGGAATTTTAATTCCAATTCAATTCTAATTCCATCAATTCCGTATACCAAATGGACCCTTATAAAGAACCCTAATCGCGGATTGAATGATCGCCACCGCCAGGGCACAATCATTCCACCGACCCTTCACGCGATGTAGGCGGTTTGAGAATTCCATAAATCGAATTACTTTGATTAATAAGATGATCAAAGTATCTGATGTTCAGATTCAAAGATGTTATGTATGAATCATACAAATCTGGCGACCATGGACTCTGATGGGGTACTGAAAACGGAGATCTAAAGTTATTGAGAGGGTCGTTACAATCTAATTGAGATATGGGAGAGAGAAGATTTTGTTGTAATATTCCTAAAATAGCCCTGTACGAAGTCAAATAAAATATTGACTATTAGATCTAATGGCGTAGATTTATTCTTAGTTTTTTCGTTAGATTCTATTCTCACCGGAACCAAAATATTTCCCATTAGCTTATCTAAGGTCATGGGGTATGGGCGACGAGAACATAGCGGGAAAGGCTACGTGGCACGCGGGACGGAGGGGAACTGCCCCCTTCCCTTGCGGGAACGGGAAGAGCAGGTTTTTCCCCCTGTTTTTCGTTTTTTTCTTTGCCATTTATTTATTATTTTTGGCTACTTCATTTTCTTTTTTATTTTTCGATTTTAATTATTTTTCAGTTTTCAGTTTTAATTTTCTTAAATTTTTTCAGTTTTTAAGTTTTTAATTTTCTTTTTAAATTTTTATTGCTAGTTTTAAATTTTTTTTTAAAAAAGCACCCGATAGGTAGCTCAACTGGTCCAAAGAGACGATGACAAATCCTGTGGATCGAATCCCAGGAGTGGCAGTATGGGAAATCAATGATTTGTAACAGATTTTTGTGACACTAAATTGACTATAGAAAAGGAATGCAAGGATCCATTGGTATTTACAGAGGGTCTGCGTCTTCACTCTCCACCCACCAGCACAATCGGATACCGGTCCTTGTCTCTGACGGATAGCACGGTTAATAATTAGTCCAGGAAAACAAAACAAATGCAGAGCGGCGCCTATCTCACCAAAACCCCACCCTTCTTACTAGTTCACCCTCACCTCCGCCGCCGCTCTCCCGGCCGGTGCCACATCGGAGCTCCGATTCTCCCCCCCAACATCGGACACAGTCGTGGAATGCAGCTGCACTCATCTCGCGGCTCCGTACTGATCGGAGTAGATCACGCCTCGATGTTTTGGGATGCCGGCGCGGCGGCGCTGACCGTCGCCGGAGCCTACGCTCTCGTCTCTACTTTCGACGCCTTAACCCACCGCAATCTCATCCAACAGGTTCTCTCGCCACAGATCTGAACTTTATATACAAAATTTCATATTTGTGGTTTAAATATATACTTCTGCTTGCGTCAGATTCACAATTTGGGTAAGAAAATAAGGAGTTTTTATGTGTGTGTGTGTAACCAGAAAGGCACAAATTGCGGGAGAAGTTTTCCAAATATAGATGGACATATTGATGATGATTTTATTATTGCGACATTTTAAATAAAAACAACAACGCATATATTTTCTATTTTTGTTGTTTTTTTTCACTGGTGAAATGGCTTTTGGAATTAAAGGTTATTCTCCAAACTTTGCTAAATTGGGTAAGTGGTCACCGGTGAGTGAGAAAGGACTGAACGCATTTTGCCAATTCTATCATAAGATGAGGACCGGTTCTGTTTCAGATCTGGAACCGGATAAGGGGTGGGATTGGCGGTTTTCGGTTTTTGAGTTTTGGATCGGAACTAGCGGCCCTGGATCCGTTCCGGGTTAAAATGGTTGCTTTTTTTTTTTTTTTAAATAGGTTTGAAACGGTAATGGAGAGTTTAGCCCACCCAACTTACAAAATGTTGGTATTAAAACTTTAAATTTGGTACTCTATAGTTTGCATGTTTTAGTCAAATGTAGGGCTGGTTTGGTTATAACGTTGTTAAAAGTTAGATTCGATATTTTTAAAAAAAATTATATAACGGCTAACGCTTAAATCTATGGATTTTATATCATTAAAATTTTTATCCAAGATGCTAACTCTAATTGTTAGTGATTTTAGGGTCATATGATAGTTTATGCAAGTAGATTTAGTTAGATCGAACAGAAATTTTAATAGACGTTATTAACGTATTGACACACTTGTTTAATAATATTACAAATTTCATAACGGGGATTTGGAAGCTGTAGTCCGCTATAGCAAGGTCCATGCAGCACTTGGCTAGGTCAAAGGGGTAGTGTTTTTTTAAACAAAGTCCAAAGTGAAACAACAATTGAATGTGTAACTATGTAGTACGGAGTAATTATCAACATCTTTAGCGAAAAGCATGTACATTCAAATGTTCAAAAATGCGAGGGTACATCAAGTGTATACTATTTGTATACCTCTTTTCTGCCCACCGCACACTCCTTGATGTGGATAATAAAAGTGGAGAGTGGATAGGAAATGTGTGGTGTACAAATGAGATGCACCGTAACATTACTCTTGAATGTTAAGTGATTGGACACAATGTTTCATGCTTAAAACTGCAGAACATGATGTTTAAACAATAATTGTCGCATACATTCGAATCTCTTGACCAAAAATTTGAATATTTTGCATAAATCTTGTTGTTTCGCCAAATTAAGCTTCTGACTAGTTTGTGCTCCATATATACGAATGTCTAGGGTATGTTTGAGATGCGCAACACTTCAATACTCGTCCTACATACTACGTGAACCACCGAGTAGGCCAACTGTGGGGTTGGGTGAGTTGACGAAGCAAGAGAGTAAAGAGAGGGATAAAGAGAGTGCAAAGTAGGAGTATGTTTGCTTGATCATGGATTTGTTACAATGCCATGATGGGAGGCTGTTTATAGCCTCCACACTATTACAACGGTAATAACCGTGATCGACACTCGTTTGTCGTCTAGTTCTTGTCGCCGCTCCTGGTGTTATTTGGCTTCGTGTGAGATTCTCATGTCGTCGAGTGTGTGTCTCTAGTGATGGGGGTATGTGGGATGTCCATTCCCCTTTTGGTGCGTTCACGTGGTGGGGTGGACTTGAATATGGATCTTCCCTGGATCAAACAGAACTACTAAGCTCAGTACGACCGAGCTGAGCTCGCCGGCCCGAGCCGAACTTGTGGGATCCGTTTGAGCTTACTCGGGCGGTGGGGTCCAGTCCTGGGGCCTACTACCAGCGTGACATGGAATTACACTTCGTCACCACGTATTTTGATATACTTAAAAATAACTTTTAGATATACTACGTGATTTGTTAACTCTCTAAAATATTCTTGAGTTGGTTTCTCCTCCACAATTTCCAACACTAATAATAAGAAATACTCTCCCCGATAATACTCTATACATCTATTTATTGTCTTTTGTGCCTAA